AATAACAGCTCTCAAAAGAAACCAGCATGGCTGCATAGAGAACTCTCTGATAAATTGAAAGATAAAAAGGACAAGCATAAAAAGTGGAAAGAGGGGCACATAACTAAAGCAGAATATCAGCAAATAGTCCGAACCTGCAAAGTTGAAGTGAGGAAAGCTAAGGCTCAAAATGAACTAAGGCTTGTGACCAAAGTCAAAAATAACAAAAAAAAGGTTCTTTCAACATGTAAAAAATAAGAAAAAGGTTAAGGAAATGATTGGTCCATTAGTGGGGGAAAGTGGCAAGAAGGTGACAAGCAACAGGAAGAAAGCAGAACTATTTAACTCCTTTTTTGCATCTGTCTTTACACAAAGGGAAAAAACAGTCCAACCTGTCAAAAACAGTACCATAAAAAATAGATTAGACACACAAGTTAAGATAGGCAAGAAAATGGTAAGTGAGCACCTATCCAGCCTAGACGAGTTCAAATCGCCAGGACCAGATGGATTACATCCCAAGGTTCTCAAGGAACTGGCAGATGTGATCTCAGAACCACTGAACTATATTTTTCAAAGATCCTGGAGGACTGGGGAACTACCAGAGGACTGGAAAAGAGCTGATGTAGTTCCCATCTTCAAAAAAGGGGAATAAAATAGATCCAGGAAATTACAGACCTATCAGCCTGACCTCAATACCTGGGAAGATTCTGGAAAAGATAATCAAACAACAAATCAGTGAACACCTAGAGACAAACAAAGTCATTACTAAAAGCCAACATGGGTTTGTCAAAAACAGATCATGCCAGACAAAACTTATTGCATTCTTTAACCATTTGACAAAATTAGTGGACCAGAGGAATGCTGTGGATATAATTTACTTGGACTTCAGTAAGGCATTTGATAAAGTAGATCACAACCTACTACTTGATAAGATAGAAAAATGTGGGTTAGACAACATCACCACCAGATGGATTCGTAGCTGGCGGACCGGCCGTACTCAGTGTGTTGTGGTCCTCAATGGAACTGCATCTACATGGAGGGAAGTGTGTAGTGGGGTGCCCCAGGGCTCTGTTCTAAGCCCAGTGCTCTTCAACATCTTGATCAACGATTTGGACGAGGGGATAGACGGGGGACTCATCAAATTTGCAGACGACACCAAGCTGGCAGGAATAGCCAACACTCCAGAAGATAGGCTTAAGATACAGGAGGATCTGAAGAAATTGGAACACTGGGTGCTATCTAACAAAATGAAATTAAATGCTGAAAAAAGTTCTACATTTAGGCAAGAAAAACCAAATGTACAGGTATAATATAGATTGTACCTTGCTCAATAGTAGCAACCGTGAGAGGGATCTTTGAGTCCTAGTGGACAATCACTTAGATATGAGCCAGCAGTGTGCTGCAGCTGCCAAAGAAGCCAACACAGTGTTAGGCTGCATTAACAGAGGGATAGAATCAAGATCACGTGAAGTATTAATACCACTTTACAATGCCTTGGTAAGGCCACACTTGGAATACTGCATCCAGTTTTGGTCACCACGATGTAAAAAAGATGTTGAGACTCTAGAAAGAGTACAGAGAAGAGCAAAAAAGATGATTAGAGGTCTGGAGGCTAAAACATATAAGGAACGGTTGCTAGAATTGGGTAGGTCTATTTAATGAAGAGAAGGACGAGGGGGGACATGATAGCAGTGTTCCAATATCTCAGGGGCTGCCACAAAAAAGAGGGAGTCAAGCTATTCTCCAAAGCGCATGAAGGCAGGACAAGAAGCAACGGATGGAAACTAATCAAGGAGAGAAGCAACCTAGAACTAAGGAGAAACTTCCTGACAGTTAGAACAATTAACCAGTGGAACAACCTGCCTCTAGAAGAGGTGAATGCTCCAACACTGGAAGTTTTTAAGAAGAGACTGGACAGCCATTTGTCAGAAATGGTATAGGGTTTCCTGCCTGAGCAGGGGGTTGGACTAGAAGACCTCCAAGGTCCCTTCCAACTTTATTATTATTATTATTATTATTATTATTATTATTATTATTATTATTATTATTATTATTATTATTATTATTAATTTTTGAATTAACATTTTAATTTAAAAAGCTTAAGTCTTACCTGTTTAAATTGAGACTGAGATTTAATGGATTATGTGTGTTGGTGCCAATTATTGTTATTTGAACTACTAAATTTGTGAAATAGCATAAAATCACCTGGGATAATTAAAAAATAGGAAAACAAATAAACCAATAAATAAATAGGAACAAAAATGTAGGCAATTACTATGTAGTTTATGTAGCCTGGCTTGCTGGGCAAATAGTTAGATTATGGTTCTATGCATCACTAGGGGAGAATAATCATTGCAATGAAAACAAAGCCAGTTGTTCACCCAATACAGAACAAAAATGCTATATGTCTAAGTTATCTGTAGTTTGGTTGTTATTGCCATCTGAAAATATTTTGATATTGACTTCTACATATTTACTGTACATATACAGTATAGCGTCCAACAGTAGACCAGTACTTGTAGAAGTTAAGGAAAAAATATTACAAAAATATGTTAGCAGTTTTAACAGGTAGCTGCAATTTTATACATATCATGGTTCCGACAGATGAAACTCTTCAAAAGAACTTCAAGGCATTGTTTACCTTAAAGAATCTTTTATTCGAGAAACAAAGTATCGGCACTACATGGTTGAAACCAAAAACTAAATTCCCCTCCCCTGGATACAAAGTATCAAAGCACAATTCCCTCCTCCAATAAGCTGTCATAAATCACATTCCCCAATTAGCTTGAAGCTTTCTCCCCAGCTCTCCATCCGCCAAAACTCTATCAACTCTGGGCCCAATGACCTTGGATTCCCACAGCTGAGTTATTATTGTTATGACTAGCTGGACTCTCATCTCATTCCCCCTCCCAGCATCAACTAACTCTAGAAGCAACAGAGAAAAATGGCTGTATTTCCATCTGTCGTCAAAGCAAGAACATCCAATGTTAGCAATGTTGACATTTTAAAATAAGAAAATGTATTTTATGCATTTTAAAATGCAATTGACCATCCTGAAGCTTGAAGAAATATGAGTTTAAAGTCTGTAAACCATACTAAAAAAGTGAGTTCAAATAAACCTCAGTCAAACATCATCAGTCTTTTTGACCAGCACATTTTATGTATTGGCATAGGTTTCCAGGAGCTGCAGTAATCACTGCATCAGATTAATGAAGAGCTAGACTGATGAAGGATACAACCAGTCCTGATATTTTTTTTTGCCACCACAGACTAACATTGTTCTGCTTCTACAATGTCTCCCCCAAATCAACATATTTCTACTCAGTAGGAGTAGAAATAGTAAGCACATAGTAATGGTTTGTTCTTCCATTTTTTTTTGTCAAACTCATGTGTGGGATGAAAGGTTCATATCTTAGTCATATCTTAGTGTAGAAACAAAGCAAATACAACACAACAGTTATGTTGCCATTGGAGGAGGTAACCTAAGATTTTTTCACTGCCAAGATGTAAGCAAGACATCAGTTCTCTTAAAAAAACAAAACCAAAAAAACCCCATAATTCAGGTATATGTGTACTTTCACTTAGCAGCATTTCCTGAAACCTAGAACTAGATTAGGAAAACAAGAGCAAATTTCTTTACTAGATATCCTTACTTAATTTTATACTGCATGTTTTAATATTTAGTTTATACATACAAACAAAATCAAATATACACAAAATTATGAATGAAAAAAGCTGAAAAAGACAACAACATATTTATTTACAATTCATGCCATGATTCATGAATCATCTGTAACTGATTTATAAGCAGCGAATATTTTAAAGTATGTTTGTCTTTCCCTTGCTGAACAGTAAGTCTTTTGATTGTAGTGCAAGTCAATTTCTTTAGTACAGAAGTCAACTGCCATGTGGTTAAGAGATAAACTTCAAAAAAATATAAATATCTGAAAATACCAAATTTTGAAGTGGTTGATATACTACGTGTCATTGCTTCTTACCGAAATGGAAAAATCTATTTTAACAAAGCATTAATTGCACTGCATCTCCAATAACATAAAAGCAACGAGATCTTTTCTAAAATACAGTAGTATTTCTTGTTGAGAAGGTGACCTAAAAACCTACCACTATGCGGTGCTGTGAACCAATGCCATTAATAATTATCTTCGTTTTGAAAGATAGGCATGGAAGCAACTGAGCACCACAACCCTGAAAAAAAAAGGTTTATTTATATATCCAGTGTATCATCATCCACCAGTATTTAGGGAAACAACAGCCCCAAACTGGTACGTACAGGGGAACACGCTATGTTTTCCCGCTGGTCTTGCCGAGAAAAGACGCACAACTCCTCATTCATTCTTCCAGGTGAGCGTTTCTCAAATTCAGTAATAAAATGTGTGGACTTCAACGCCAAGATTTCCTGACCCAGCATGTTGAAGTTCACATATCTTAAAACGGCTGAGCAACTGATAGGTGATGGGGGAAAGACCCACCCCTATCAAACTTCGGAAATTGCAACCTTCGCGTTCTGGCTTGAAACTTCCGACTTGCCGTCAACATTTTCAGAAAGCTTCCGTGGATCAGATCCGTAGCTTTAGATATGTCAGCCTACCCAACTTTACAGCTACAGAGCCACCTTTTTTTGTTAATTTAGAGCTCTCCTAACGTTTATATCTATCACCGAAGCGAGATTTACAACCGAGATTTTCGAGGGCTGTTCGCCACTTCGTTATCAAATGAGGACGGCTGAATGACTCTGCCACCTTCTAAACCAGGGGTAGTCAACCTTGGCTCTTTTATGACTCGTGGACTTCAACTCCCAGAATTCCTGAGCCAGCTGTGCTGGCTCAGGAATTCTGGGAGTTGAAGTCCACGAGTCATAAAAGAGCCAAGGTTGACTACCCCTGTTCTAAACTCTATTGTGACATGAGCGACTTTCCTCTTGGCATTGAGGGTTCTCTCTTCATTATTTATCTCTATGTCCAACTTCGCACCTCCTCTTCCCGGCGTTCAATGCGCGAGAAAGAACAGCTGGCCCGCGAGAGAGTGTTTAGGCCGGAACCGGGAGGGCTGCCTCGTCTCGGGCCCTGGCTGAGATTCTATGCAGCGTCGGTCGCCTCCAGAGGCGATGATTGCGCCAGAAATGTCCGGCCAGAGCCATTCCGGGGAGGAACCGGACGAACTGACAACGCGGCGCTTGATCCGCCAACAGTACCGAGAACTAATTTCTACCGTTCAGCGTAGGTTCCTCCCCACCGAGTAGGAGAGAAACGGCGCAAACTAATCCGGGATGAGGCTTCCGTTGATCCAGGAAACTTGCTTGGTGGCCTCGGATCGGTCGCCGCCGCTGCTTAACTCTGTCTACATGGCGGGGATGATGGCCGGGGGCGGGGGGGGGGATAAAGAGGGAAACTCCTGACTAAGTCTTAGGATCGAGGGCTCCTCGGTGCTCTCTGAGCTTGGTTGTTTTCTTGCAGACGTTTCTTTGCCCAAACTAGGTAACATCATCCGTGTTAGACTGAATGTGCCTTAAGATCCTGCGAGACAGCGGGGCAACACATAAACATGTGCTCTTCTCCTGTTTGGGGATCCTTTTTCCTGTCTGTGGAGATGATGGACGGGGTGCATTCCAGTCACGCATGTTTTCCATTCCCACTTTGCTGTGATCTGGAGATGGAGTTTGAAAGATCCCACCTTTCTGAGATTCCCCCCCCCCCAAAAAACCTTCATTCTTCTAATTTAGTGGTTCTCAACCTGTGGGTCGGGACCCCATTTGGGGTCGATCGACCATTTCACGGGGGTCACCAAGCAAGGCTGTCTGCCATTTTTTTTGTCCATTTTTTCCCCCTTTCCCAGCGGGTGCCTTACCTCCCTTGGGTTGGGCCAGCTGGTGGTCGGCCTGCTCCGTCTTGCCAGCTACGCCTCGGCCAGCACAGGGGGCGGAACCACGCATGCGCGGCGCTCCTGGGCAGGGAAAGTCCTCGACTTACGACCGGTTTAGTCCTCGACTTACGACCGGTTGGGGTCGCGGCATTAAAAAGGTTGAGAACCACTGTTCTAATGAATGAAGTCTAAATGCCTCAGCAATGCTTTCTACATGGGGCTCCCCTTGAGGTGCACCTGGAGGCTCCAGCTAGTTCAGAATGCGGCTGTGACGGGGATTTTGGGGGCCTCTAGATGCTCCCATGTAACACCTCTCCTGCGCGAGCTGCACTGGCTGCCGGTGGCCTTCCGGGTGCGCTTCAAGGTGTTAGTAACAACTTTTAAAGCGCTCCATGGCAACGGACCTAGGTATTTGCAAGACCGCCTCCTACCAAATATCTCCCTTCAACCAGTCCGCTCCCACAGAGAGGGCCTCCTTAGGGTACCGTGGGCCAGCCAATGCCGGCTGGCGATTTGAGAGCTTTCTCTGTGGCAGCTCCTGCCCTCTGGAATGACCTGCCCCCCAACCTACGTACAATTGCGGACCTGCGCCTCTTCTGCCGAGCCCTGAAAACTCATCTGTTCCATGCGGCCGGCCTGGCGTAGTTTTGATTGGGTTTTGTTAGGGGTTTCATATTTTAGAGCAGGCTTTTATGTAATATTTACTGTTACATATTTTATTGCCTGTTCACCGCCCTGAGTCCCGTAAGGGAGATAGGGCGGTATATAAATTTAAATAATAAAATAAATAAATAGTGAGGGTGTGTGTCACAAACTTTTTTTTATTAAAAAAATGTAAAATGTTTTTTAAATCTAAATCGTAATTGGAATCTTCGGGCATGTTGTGCTTCAGGAAGTGGAACTCTGCCTTGCAAATTGGTGCATATACTGGTTTTAACGGGGTGGCCTTTTTGGTTACGTATCTCAATGATTAAATATGTTTTTCCCCCTGTTTTCCTAGAGAACCATGAACTGATGCTAAGCACCAATAATGATAAATTGACAGAAGCTCTAGAAGATGCTGATAAACTATTTACTGGAGGTAAGATGAGAATTTCCCCAAATACTTACCATTTCTTCAGTGCTTGATTTCTTTCTAGAAATCGCTTCAAATAAAAAAATATGTGTCACATCACCACTTTTATTTAATCCATTCAACTTATTCTAGTGAGAAAAATATAAACTATTTTGTTTACTAACGGTAGCCTTTTGTATTCTTCAGAAAGCATGAAGAGTAATTTTCTATTAGCCTGAAGGAATTAGTAGAGGCAAGCAGAGAGGAAAATTACTTTATTTCCCTTTGTAATTAAAGTAATTAAAAATCCAATCTCATCTCTTTTTCTTCTCTCTTGTCTTAATGATATGCTACTTTCTTTTTGATTGATAGGCATCAGTGTCATTTTTATTAATACTTCATGTTCGGTGGGCAGTATATGTTACATCAAGTGATATAATATGAATATAAAGTGATAAAGTATGAAACTCAGCACTAAGAATAATTATTATTGTTTTAAGTATTAAGAAAAGCCCAGAGCATGCTTTTACAAGACAATAATGTAATAATGAACAGAGTAGTCACACATAGGATAAGCAAGCAATATGCAATAAATGAAAAAATGTTACCAGGTAATATCCACCCTGCATAGACAACATATTTCTCTCACAAAAATGCACCTTTTCTTCTAGCCCATTACATTGAATTGTTAACTTAATCTTATTTAGTTAACCTAAACAACAGGCATCCATCGGAAGTTGAATATTAATGAAAATTACGTTATTGTGTTCAATTCCCTTTGAATCTAGCAAAATATTTTTCTTCTTTCAAAACAGTATCCTTTGCAAGGGAGGCCGCTTTGGATGCCCAGTTCCTAGTTTTGGCATCAAATCTAGGAAAAGAAAAAGCAAGCCAGTTACACTCAGATATGACAGTATTTGATCCATCTGCATTTGCTGAAGATTTAGTAAGTTTGCAATGATGAGCTGTATAGTAATATAAGCTTTTCTGTTTTATTAAATAGAACTTGAAGCTGTATAGCAATATAAGACTTTTCTGTTTTATTAAATAGAACTTGATGATATATATAAAATGATCCCATCAACATTTCATGATAGTAAATCATCATGTATTCATTGTTTAAATGGGAAACAAAATATTTTTTTAGCAAAGCTACTATCAGTATTTAGAAGTGTACTTAAATCTTTCACTTATATAAGCTGAAATATAAGTTTTAGAGACTGAAGCCAAAAAAAGTATGCAGTGCACTTGAGGTCCTTGAGTTCATGAGAACCAGACTGTTAGCTTGCTGTTGCATTAATCATATATTTTAATAAGAGTTAGAACCCCTTTGCTTATTTTAAATGTAGGCTGTAACTCTTGGGCTATCATACTCTATAACCTCTTCCCTGGTTTTCTCATTAACTTCAAATTAGTGAATTCTTGCATTATTGAAAATTAAACTATTCTATATCAAAAATGTAGTGATCTAGATATGCTTTTTTGATCCTGTAGAATTATTTTGCTGTACTGGGTAATTAGAATCGTAAGCCATGTGTCACAGTTAATAATTCATTTTTGTTCCATCACCAGTCATGAGCCAAAGAAAATTAAAAATTACTGCTCAGGTTTCTTTAGACTTTCATTTTTTTTAGTTGGCATCACAGACCTGGGTTTGGAAAAAAACATATTTGTCTGCTTGTCTTGTCTGGAATCACATATTATAGTAGCTAAGACAATTCAAATAGTTCTTTGTATCACTGCAAAGAGAAAATTGGCTGCCTCCTCAATTTAAGTTATGTAAATAGTTCTGCATTTTTGGAGAAGGTGGTGAGGGAGGAATGATTTGTGCAAAGGGATAACATATGCCACATATTTTAAACTGAATTTCCTGTTTAAAAAAAACAAGATAAATTGATTAAGATGTTGTGATTTCAGATCAAAGTTGTAATATACTTTATTTTGAATTATTTAATATGCAATTAGTATCATTCAGAATAGATTTAGACATGAGTGTAACTCCGCAAGCATGATGTTGTGTACCTTAACATATTTCTTCTTGAATTCTAATTTAATATTGTCCATGCATTTTGTATAAAAATGCAAATTGATACCATAATATATTTCTCCTACAGTTATCACTTATGGGTCTAAATCGTTTGGAAACAGAAGAAAGTGATAGTGAAGAAGAACAGGTTGCTAGTGGATTCTTACCTCATAATGCTTGGCATAAACTTGGTGAAGAAGCAAAAAAATACTTTAGGAGGGCACCAGTTTTCCATTTCATGTGAGTTTATTTGTGGTACCCTTCCTTTCAGTCTGGTGTGATATCTTTTTTCACAGGAATTACGCTACAGATTTATTGTAGATTGGGACTTGAATAGCACAATTAAAGCAGCTTGCACAATGTAATTTGAGATGTGTTTCTCTACTGCTGTCTTTGAGCTTTGACAGCAGCACTTGCACTTTCTGAGGAGTTGTTGAAGTGAGCAAAATAAACTAAAGACCTTTTATTAAGTTATCATCCCTATATTCCATCAAATGGGTTTGGGGCAAGGAGGTTTCTGAATAGAAAATGCAGTTGACCCTAATTTATTCTGTAATTGGAACAAGTTCTTCTTTCCAACAGTGCTTCTATAAATGTTTCCTTTTGTTGCTCTTAGGTAATAGTGTTTTAAAATTTGAAATAAGAGCAAGAAATGTGTATAGTTGAGAACAACCAGATTAGGATTTTGCATTCATATGCATTAGTCTGACATGACTCTAAAATTAAAACATTATTAGGTCTGAAGGCATGAAGCTGAAAGAAATTCTAATCTCTCAGAAGTTCAAACACCAGGGTTTTTTGTTTTTTTTTAGGCTTATGTCGCTATATCCTTTTAGCTTGTTAGCCATGTTTGCAAAATAGAATTACAGTGTTATGTTTTCAGGTTATTTGGAATGTTACATAAGGAATTTACAATGTTTTCATTGGCTTAGGTTGGGCACATTTACTCCTGATCCTCCTGTTGAAAGGCCACGCATTGAAAGGCAACGAAAGAAGGCAACATCAGATGGAAACAGAGTAATGCCTGCACAAGTGAGTTACCTCTGATAAAGCCTAATATTACTTTGGGGATGAGAAACTTTCAACTGAAATTCATAGCACAGTAACAGAAGAGGAAACGTAAATAGATTTTTTTTTTGTCATAACAAAGCATTATGGTGAACAATGATTTTTATGCAGATGTTTGGTTCTGGCTTAATAATCTTCTAATATAAATACATGGGAAAATATTTATTGAATCAGCTGATTTTTGTAATTTGTAAATGGTGCATAAAGCTTTAAACTCAATTTTAAAAGCTTGTTTTTCATACCAGTAGATTTATTTCAGCTCAGTACTATTTTTGCACATTCTCCTATTTTTTTAAAATTACATTTCATTTCTCCCAGAAATCAAGTTTACATTGATAAAAGTATTGATGGTTATGAGGTACCACAATAAAATATGCTTTAAGGAAAACCACAATATTCTTTAAAAGAAATTCAGAATATTATAATGGGAACAGGAAGACTGCTATAATATTGTCATAAAATATAGCTATATTAATAATAGCTTGTTAAGTTAATTCCTTTTTTAGTTAAAGAAAATGGAAGAATCTCATCAAGAAGCTACTGAAAAAGAAGTAGAAAGGATTTTGGGATTCTTACAAGCCTATTATGCAGAAGAGCGTAAGTTAATGGATTTCAGCATTCTCACAGTTGCCTCTCTTTCCTTTAAGTATTGTTATGGGGGCTAGAAAAAGTATGATATTGAGAATGCTATGTAAGAACAAAAATATTTGAGCAGAAAAGATCTGTTGAAGTTATAAAGAGGTTGTGTGCTTCAAATATTTAGTTGTATTTTTTCTGCAATTAGCTTAATTTTCAAGGTGATATTTTTACTGGAAATGCTTACTTATATTAATTTGACTCCATATGCACATATTTCTCAATCTGATGTTATGATAATACTTTGCTCTAGGAAGAATCATTCAGATGGCATATAAGATTTGTTAAGAAAATTTAGTTTACATTTCTCATTCTGCTGCAAACCATAATTAAATGTCTTTAAATAAAAAAATTGAATAGTGAAAATATTAAATGTGGGCTTAGGATTTTTTCCATTCATATATGAATGATAGCTAAATGATATTGAACATAGAAAGTAAACTAGAAATAGACTGAATAGCTAAATGAACTTATCAATATCAAAACTATGTTATTTTTACATTATAGCTGATACACCAATATCTTTCCTTGAGTTTGTGACAGACCCAAATTCTTTTGCACGAACTGTGGAAAACATGTTTCATGTCTCATTCTTAATAAGGGTAAGGAGAAACAATTTTCTCCCTTAATTGTAAGCAAAATGTATTGTGCCACAAATATAAGCACAGGATCTGAACCATCCATGTTGAAGGGCTGCTATTGACTAATTCTTATTTCATCACTTATGTAATGCAAAGTTTGATGTGTGTTTATAATTTACTAACCCCTCCCTCTTTTATATACTAGATTTTTGTCCTTTTGACAGTTGTAATAAATTGATTTTGAAACAAGCTTGATAATTATAAGAATTTAATATATTTAGGCACTTGAAATATGGATCATGCTTTGTTTTTGTTAAAAAAATCTGATTGTTTTTTCATAATGGAAATAAGTTGGTTTTAAGTCTTATATCTATCTACTGTTTAAAAGATTAAAACTGGAAAATTAATTCCTGAATGACTGGGATAATCATAACAATCATGGTTTATTTCATATGCTATAAATGGCTGTAATCATACAATCCACTTAATCAAAACCAAACAAATAATAGGTGGCTAAATTTGTTTACCATTCTTATCACTTGAATTCAGCTCGGTAAATGTATTTCAGATTTCATAACTTGTTTTTGAAAGGTTTGCTATCTTAGAAGTAAATTGAACTTTTTTTTTTTCTAGGATGGACTTGCAAGAATAAAACTGGATCAAGATAAGCTTCCTATAATAGGTAACGTTGGAATATTTAATACTAGGAATTGTTTTAAATAAATGTCTTTATGTCTTTTAATTTGATATATACTTGAATTTATATTGTTTTAGTGAAATGGCATTTTTGTTTTTTAAATATAACTGTGTGTCCCCAAAATACAATATTTTATTAGAACCTTTACGTCCAGAAGAAGTAGAAAGTTATGAGGATACTCACGCACGAAAGCAAGCAGTCATATCAATGAGCTATCAAGAGTGGAAGGTATAATTAAATATTTTATTTCCTGAAGTTATTTTAAATATCCCTGAATTGCGTTTCTGTGCCTAAAATGCTGTAACTAGGATTAGCGCATCTATATTATTCAACTTGTGTATCACAGTAAGATGGACTGACTGTTGGTTAAAGTAGTAATGTATTTCATTCATGAATTTTGTACAGTCTCCCATCTTAAAAAAAAATTGCAGCACTTTACCAGAATTTACATTGTAAAAGTATGATAAAAATAAATGCTAGTCAGAAGTTCTGTTAACGTGTAATATACATAACTTTGCATTTAACAGCTTAATATTTTAACTAACGGTGGTTGAAAAGGTAGATATGTTTATTAATGCACATTTTTATCTATAATACTATGAATTAAAGACATTAATTTTTTATTTTCACATAGAATATTGTGGAGATATTTGAAATTTCACAGACAATGATTCCACCTGTTTCACAGTCACAGACATGAGATGAAGCTGATCTGAATGTAAGGTACTATTTTTTGTTTAATTTCTCTGATATCGTTTTTGTTGTTGCTATTCAAGCATAATAAATGCTAGTTTGGGCTGATTTCAATCTCACTCTTTTACACAGGTATCCATAGTTCTGTAAGAACCAGCCTGATCTTGGAAGGAGAATGGAAATGAGCAAAACTTTCCTGTTTAAGTATTGTATATTTGCTTGAATAAGGGGAGTGCTTCCAGGTTTTCTAAATAACAATGTTGTATTATACAACATACTGTACATTGTTTATTTGCTGTAACAACAGATTAGTCTCAAATTGTTGTAGCTTTTATGTTCTGAATGTGCTTTGTCTTATTACAATTCATTTGGTCAACATTATGTTATTTCAGTTTGTATTTCACCTTTCCACAAAGCAAAAAGAAGTTAGCTAACAATAAAAACAAAGTATGATTTTCAGTAAAAGAAGACATTTGATCAGTCTTCAGAGGTGGAAAAGAGTGGTGGCTTGCCACTGCTCCCAAGGGTGTTTGCTCTGTATTTTTGGAGTGACCCAGAACGTGCCTTCTTTTATGTGCCTGACAAAGACCGCTTTAAAGGTCATTTAATGTCCAAGCAGATTCATACTGAGAGACACAAACAGTTGTGCCTGAAACCATTTAAATGTTAAAGGAGTAGAATGGTACTATCCCAGTTCCTTTGTGTTGCAGCAGTATGTGTTAATTATATTTTAGTTTAGGAGAACATGCACTTTTCTAAAGCTTATTTATAGTTCCGTAGCTAAATTAGCTTTTGAACCTCATTATTTGTGAATGATGGTACAGAGAAGAAAAATGGGGAGTGGAAATGCAAGGCCGAGAAGAAAAGTACATCAGGCTGTCTACATCATAGAATGTACTCACCTCGTTGAAATACTTTGCTTTCCTCCATCATACTATTTTGATGTCATTCTGCATTTAAGACAAGCATTCAAATGTTTATGGTAGAATGTCTTTGAGAAATGGCATATAAAAACGAAATAGCTTCTATTGTGGATGTCATTCCGTGTTATAGATTATTGAAACTTGGGCAGAAGCATCCATTTGTAATTAAAACACTTTGAAACACTTTTCTAGTGGTTGTATGTTTCAAGATTAATAATTTCAAATGTTTCTGTAGTCATTTTTGAGTTATGCAAACTTGTTAATCTTTAAATAATAATATAAATATTAAATATAGATAACATGGAAGCTTTGGCTTTGAAAAGACTATTTTTTTGGACTAAAGATGCAGTCTAGTAGATTCTGGGAAGCTGCCCTGCACCTTATAAATTACTCTTTATAAGTATTTTCTTGGAAAGTTGCACGAGATAACAAAGTATACTGGTATTATAGCTGATACAAAAAATATGTGGAACTGGATTAGTTGTTAACTTATAAAATTCTATGGTGTTCTTCTACCCCTAGCATATATTATTCTGTCACTGGATTTCTAACAGTAATAGCATATGGGCGTCATACAAATCATACATAATATAAATGCATCAAGGAGATTTGTTTTTCAATCCAAATGATTTTAGACAATTGTAGCCTGACTGCATTAATAAGTGCAGAGAATGCAGTCTTGTCAAACTAAACTATTCAGCTATATAAGGCAATAATGTAGGATTGTGGGAAAAATAGGAATGATCCCTCCTAGCATGCATGTATGTATACCTACTACAATTATTGTCAATGCTGCTAACATCGGATGTTCTTGCTTTGACAATAGATGGAAATGCAGCCATTTTCTCTATTGCTTTTAGAATTAGTTGCTGCTGGGAGGGGGAATAGGGATGAGAGTCCAGCTAGTCATAACAATAACAACTTAATCGTGGGAACCCAAGGACATTGGGCCCAGAGCTGTTAGTGTTTTGGTGGGCTAGAGAGCTGGGGAGAAAGCCCGCTAATTGGGGAATGTGATTTATGACTGTTTATTGGAGGAGGGAATTGTGCTTTGTTACTTTGTATCCAGGGGAGGGGAATTTAGTTTCTGGTTTCAACTATGTAGCGCCGATACTTTGTTTCTCGAATAAAAGATTCTTTACGGTAAACAATGCCTCGAAGTTCTTTTGAAGAGTTTCATCTATTGGAACCATGACAATTATGTTAAATTAAAGATCATTGCAACAAAAAATACAGGTGTACAAATAAAATGATAGATCTATAGAATGATGTACCAATGCTAATGTGTTTCCGGCATCTTTTTTAAAACAACATTTTCTACTGTCTTTCACCACTGTTAATTATTACCCTTATGTTTTTAATGGATGATTTTTTTGTTTTGTTATAGTATAATTTATTACCATTATATTTTATTTCTGGATATGGATATGTATGGTGCATATTTTCAAATTATATTTTAGCAACTTGCATAACAAAACAATTATAACCTTTGGAAAAATTAGATCAATTGTAAACATTATACTTGTGTATAAAGTATGTGGTTATACTGAAAATATTAAATGAAAATCTTGCACAGGTGCCATACAACCCTTTGTCTATGGCAGGTAAGGACTTGAATCAATTTTGGCCAATAAAGGATACCTATCCTGCCTAGTTTTAATAGTACGGCTGATTACTTGAAGGATAAATTACTGGAATATACCACAACTATCCCTTAAATATGTTTCAAAATTGTGGATGGCCTACAGTAGGATAGCATTGGTAGTAAGTGGTACCTCTTAGAGGTGCGGTATCATTTCTGTATTGAAACAATTTACAGTGGATTGCCAAATTGCTTTGTGAAACCAAAGTGCTCCCTTTTCTGGACATAATTGTGGTGAAATGTGCAGCATAAAATTCTGGATTTTTTTTTTCAGCAAGAAGGGAACCTTTTTTTGGAAGACAAAGAGTTGGAGTTTAGGCAGAAAGCCTGATTATAGCTTAGAAATAGACTTGAAATCTTAGTTAGATCTTCTAGAATTCATTTACTGCTGATTTGTAATAATACAGGTGGTCCTCGACATATGATTAATTGAGCAAGGAATTATGGTCACAAGTTATACTACTTAAGTAGGTCATCACATGATCGTGTCTGATTTTGTGACCTTTTTTGCATGGTCTTTAAGCAAATGGCTGTTATTTTGTTGGAAACTTGAAGTAAACACCAGTTAACAGCAAAAAATGTTGCAAACTGATCATATGACTGGGATGCTGCAAAAAGCTGCAAAGGCGGGCTAATTGTCAAGTGTCCAAAATGACCGGGAGGGGGGGAGAGACAGTCAGAATTTTGAATCGGGTTGTAAGTACCTTTGGGAGGGGGGGCTGTTGTATCTTTGGTTGTAAGTCGAGCGCTATCTGTATTGTGCCCAGGCCATTTGGGTTGGGTGATATATACATTTCATCTCAGTCTTTAGTATAGCTATTACAACATATTGATGCCAGCATCATATGAATTCAAAGTACAAAGAATATTCCATCACCTTTTGTAAATATTGAACACATCTCTTAAATATCTTACTCTGAATCTTCACACCTAGAAAAGTATTTCTCATAAGTAGAACAATTAAATAAGGACCAAATAATGGATTAACTAAAGGCAAAAATCTGTGTGGTTGCTAAGAATCAACAGCAATTTGATGGCACATAATCAAAAAGCCAGTAATTTTGAAGTACAAGTAGCCCTCACTTAGCACCAAGTGACATGGTTGTTAAATGAAATGTCACATTAATGTAGTAAATTGAACAATTATTAGAATAATGATGTGTCTGCATAATTGCTAGAAC